CATGATGCTCCGAGAAATAAGCCAGACACAAAAAGACAAATACTGTATGATTCCACTCATGGGGGCCCCTAGAGTAGTCAGATTCATAGAGATGGGACGGTGGTTGCCAGGGGCTAGGCGAAGGGGCATGGGGAGTTAGTGTTTAACAGGGGTTGTTGCAGTTTGGAAAGATGAGAAAGTTGTAGGGGTGGATGCTGCTGATGTTTGCACATGATGCAAATATACTTAATGCAACTGAACTATACATTTAAAATGGTTAAAATGGCAAATTTTATGTCATATATATTTTACCACAATTTTAAAAGGAAAAAAAAGAGTGCATTGCAGCCAGAGCCAGGACACCGGGCCAAGGATGGAGGTGCAGAGGTGAGGCGAGGCTGGCACTGGGCCCATCAGTGTTCCCCGCCTGTTGCTGCCAGCGTGGGTTGGGAAATGTTGGGCAAGGTGTGTGGAGGTGAAAGGTCCAGGTGCAGCCTGGGGCACTGGTAGGAGGACAGCAGCAGGCAAAGGGCTGCTCTCACATATGTTCTGTCCCCTACCCTGAATCTGGTTTCTATCCCCTTTTTGCCCATGGCTGGAATTAGCCAGTTCTCCCATTGGCAGAAATGTCTCTGTGAATGGATCAAGATGTCTGGCAGTTTGACAGAGAAGCTGAAACCTCCCACAGAGTCAGTCCTCATGGTGCTGGGTTTGGTAACTGGGTAAGGGATGCCAGCTCTCATTTTGCCAGCGGTGCAGGGAGAAGAGGTCAGGCCGACACTGTCTGGACACAGTGTGCCCACACAGAGCTGGCATGGTCGGGGTGGCAATGATCTGTATTGTCAGCTTTAGAGAGGAAATAGACACTAGAGTTCGAGCACCTCCTTGCTCCCCTTCATGAATGTTGGGGTGACGTACCATCAATTCTTGTGATTCGTGGTGGTTACATTTATAAAGTCTCCACAGACACTGGATCAGCCAAGACTGAGTCATTGCTCCTAGGGGATGGATGGGGTTAGGTTCCATTCAGGCTCTGGGCACATTTTTGTCAACTGATGGATACATAACCTTGTTTTATGTGTGTTCCTGGTTAAAGACACCTTAATTGATAACCTGTTTTGTTTTTTGTTTGCTCGTTTGTTTGAGACAGAGTGTAACTGTCGGCCAGGCTGGAGTACAATGGTGTGATCTCTGCTCACCGCAAACTCTGCCTCCTGGGTTCAAGTGGTTCTCTCGCCCCAGCCTCCCAAGTAGCGGGGATTACAGGCATCATGCCCAGCCAGTTTTTGTTATTTTGTAGAGATAGGGTTTCACCATGTTGGCCAGGCTGGTCTCGAACTCCTCCTGGTCTCAGGTGATCCATCCGCCTTGGCCTCCCAACGTGCTGGGATTCCAGGCGTGAGCTACTCTGCCCGGCCGATAACCTGTATATTGTTGATTCATTAACCTTGAACCCACAGCAAACAGCACTAGAACTCATGCCTGAAGGAGCTTCTCTAAGGCATGAACTTTTTGTTTTTATCTGAGACAGGGTCTCCCAAAGTCTGATATTGAAAAGTGGTACTGGACGGGCGCAGTGGTTCACGCCTGTAATCCTAACACTTTGGGAGGCCGAGGCAGGAGGATCACCTGAGGTCAGGGGTTCAAGACCAGCCTGGCCAACATGATGAAACCCCGTCTCTACTAAAAACACAAAATTAGCCAGACATGGTGGCGCATGCCTGTAATCCCAGCTGCTGGGGAGGCTGAGGCAGGAGAATCACTTGAACCCAGGAGACGGGGATTGCAGTGAGCCGAGATCACGCCACTGCACTCCAGCCTGGGTGACAGAGTGAGACTCCCTCTCAAAAAAAAAAAAAAAAAAAAGGAAAGTGGTTCTTAGTGTTCACTTATGGATGTTGCCAATCAATCCCACATCATATCACGAGTACTGGGAACTGGAATTTGAAGACCACAAGGAAATGGACATTTACGACTCCTGGAAAATGGCACTTCCTTATGCAAGCATCCATGCCATCTGATGATGATTTGACACATGAATTCACTTTTCCTACTTCCAAAGTGCCTCAGCCACCAGTCCTCTCCATTCTTCCAAGTAGTGTCTATGTCTGATGTGAGCAGAGCACAGCCACAACTCTTTGTACCATGGGCAAGGCAGTCACTTTTCTTTTGAGGGAATCGTTCAAGAGATACAAAGAAGTCCCCCTGCGGCCTGAACACTGAGTTCAAGATAAGCAATGTTTGTAACTCTGCGCTGGCAGCCAAGAGCTGGATCCCGATTGCAGATGGGGCTATGCGTAGCAGTGAGAGTGGGAGACACAGAGACAGGGACTGAGAGAGAGAGAGAGACAGATGGGATCAGGGATAAAGGCAGCACTGCCAGGCACTGTGCTGGGTGCTTTCTGTTCATCACATTTAACTTCACAATGCCCCTCACACAACTGCTTTCTCCCCCATGGTACAGATATAAAAACTGAAGCTCTGAGAGATGAAATGGTGCTTGCAAGGTTTGTGCACTGGCTGTCTGATGCCAAAATTTGCAGTCTCAACCATGATATCATGTGCCTGTCCCACTGGAGGCTGGATAAGGGGCTCAGAGAGCTTGACCATGAAACCCTTGCCTAGCCGGGTTCTCTCTTTTTCTCTGGAAAGTGGGGAGGGCCCCCAGCTGCTGTCTACATGCAGTGATAAAGAGGGGGTGAGTCCTCAGCCCTGCTCCTGTCCTGCCCACATCTGGGTCACACTGGGGATGACAGATGTCCAGTGTGACTGGCCAAGAATGAGTGCCAGTGGACAGGATACAAATGCCTGTGGCTGGTGGCAGGGTGACTAAATTTCGGGCCTTCAGTCACAGTCTCAAATTCCTGTGCCAGGGCCTGGCCTTCCTGTCATTAGTCCTAAGTCTGGTCATGCAATGCAGGAGGGATGGGTGGGTACAGGAGGCTAGAGGTTCTGACCCCAGCTGTCCCAGCCAGAAGCCTCAGTTCTTCAACCCAGAAGCCTCAGTTCCGCCGCAGCCCGGAGTGTGAGGTGGAGTTGGAGGGCAGTTAGGGCAGGACTGTAGGTAATGCCCCCCTCCAGCAAAGCCAACATGTCAGGAACGGGTGGGACCCCTGTCTGGTTCCCAGCTCTCCTGACTTTCCCCAGGACTTAGGACCTGACCCTGCCTTGCTCTGGGCCTCCATCTACAAAGTGTGTATGTGATGAGGCAGTCAGCCCAGGTATTCACTATGACCTGAAGCTCCCATGCCCTGGAATTCCTGCCCAGAGACAGGAGGCAGCCCTGCTCCCAGCTCTGCTACCCCTCCAGGCACGGCAAAAGCAAGGAATGCAGCAGACTGGGGAAACTCAGGTGAACGTGAACCACCCAACCAGTCCAGGTGCTTCTCAGGTGACATTTGGAATCCTAACAGCAATGGCACCACCAGTCACTCTGTCATTGAGGACACTGAGCCACAGAGAGGGCGGAGGCCTGACCCCAAAGCTCTCAGCATTCCTCCAGGTCTCAGGGAGAGGGGGAGGGCTTCCTGGTCCACTCCAGTTGGGGTCGGTATGGCCTGGCAGACCTGGGTCCTCCAGTGAACAGCTCTAGACCAAGGTCTAACTTCTCCCCATGGACTGCTGTGGGCTTGCTCCACCCAGTGCCAGGGGTAGCTCAAGGTCAAGGGGCCTCCTAGGCATCTCTTAAGGGCATGCTACTATCCGAATGTTTGTGTCCCCACTAAAGGTCATCTGTTGAAGTCCTACCCCTTAAGGTGATGGTCTTTGGAGGCGGGGGCCTTTGGAAGGTGATTTGATGAGAAGGTGGCACCCTCATGAATGGGATTGGTGCCCTTATCAAATCTGAGGCCCAGATGTGAGGATGTGGCAAGATGGCACCTTCTATGAGCCATGCCCCTCACCAGGGGCCGAATCTGCTGGCATCTTGAACCTGGGCTTTCCAGCCTCCAGAACTGTGAGACAGAGAAATATGCCAGGCGCAGTGGCTCACCCCTGCAATCCCAGCATTTTGGGAGGCTGAGGTGGGCGATCACTTGAGGTCAGGAGTTCTAGACTAGCCTGGCCAACATGGTGAAACCCCATCTCTACTAAAAACACAAAGAATTAGTCAGGCGCGGTGGCGCATGCTTGTAATCCCAGCTACTCGGGAGGCTGAGGCAGGAGAATTGCTTGAACCCGGGAGGCAGAGGCTGCAGTGGGCCAAGATCGCGCCACTGCACTCCAGCATCGCAGGGAAAACAAAGAGAGAAATAAATCTCTTGTTTGTAAGCCCCTCCGCTTACCGTATTTCGTTTTCGCACCAGAATGGACTAAGATAGAGCACCAGGAATCATCTAGGCCTCAGTTTCCCAAACCACTCCCCACTCCCCAGTTCCTACAGGGCCGCGACCCAGGGCCCGTCATTCACATTTTTTACTTACAAAGGAAACTTTGAAATGGACACTTCCTGTTACTGTCATTCAATAAAAAAATCCCCAGCACTTGAAGGCAATCATACAGAAAGCCTGCAGCAACGCAGCCAGTAGACGCTTCAGGTGGTGGTGCCTGCTTTAGGCTGGCTCTCCCCGGGTCAAAAGGGACGTGATAAAGTGTCAAAGGGATGTTAAGGATCAAGTGGGCACCAACTGTGACCCCCCTCTCACCCTCCCCACCCCACCCCCGACTTAATGGATGACAAAGAAAACAGTAGGAAGCCGTTTCTCTCCAGGACATGCAGTGTCTTTTAGAATTTTGGAAAAATGCTTTCTCTCGAGTCGCTGGGGAGAGCTCCCAGGCTGGACCCCCGCACAGATCCTCCCCCATAGCCCTCCCAGCCTCTGTACCCAATCCCCCTCCCAGCCCCCCGTCCCCGCTCCATTCCCCTCCCAGCCCCCCGTCCCCGCCCCCATCCCCCTCCCAGACCCCGTCCCCGCCCCCATCCCCCTCCCAGACCCCGTCCCCGCCCCCATCCCCCTCCAAGCCCCGCCCGGGAGGGCGTCCTGCCCGCTCATTGGGCCTCCCTCCGGCTTATTTGCATGGTCCGAGGGAGGCGGGGCGGACGTCGCGCGTGGAACGCCCGGGCGGAGACGCGGCGGCCGGGTCACGAGCGCTTGCGGGCGCCCGGCGGAGCTGCTGCGGATCAGGACCCGAGCCGATCCCCGATCCCGACCCCGATCCGGATTCGCGCTCCCGCCCCCGCCCCGCCATGTACGACGCCGAGCGCGGCTGGAGCTTGTCCTTCGCGGGCTGCGGCTTCCTGGGATTCTATCACGTCGGGGCGACCCGCTGCCTGAGCGAGCACGCCCCGCACCTCCTCCGCGACGCGCGCATGTTGTTCGGCGCCTCGGCCGGGGCGTTGCACTGCGTCGGCGTCCTCTCCGGGATCCCGCTGGGTGCGTCTGGGGCCGCCGCCCGGGCTCCGCGTGCGGAGGGGGTGCCCCCTAAGAACCCCCAGGGGGTCCCCAGGGGTCGCGGGGCGCCAGGAGGAGCGGGCACCAGACACAGACACGGCGGGGTGCATCCCGAGGGTCCCCTCTGGGGCAGATGCTTCCTGCGGGGGCGCTGTTCCCTGGGCGCGGGAAGGGGGCGTTGGAACCCGGAGAGGTCCGGGCCGAAGCCTGGGGCTCTCGCGCGTCCCCACCCCTACGCACATCAGGAGCCAGTGCATGAAGGGAGCCCCTTGCCTCCGGATTGAGAGTCGGGACGTCTCGGAGTGACGAGGAGTAGGGAGCAGGACCTGGGGCGGAGGGTCGTGCTGGCCCCTGCGGACTCCGGGTCCCCGGTGTCCTCTCGGGAGGTGCTGGGCGGGCTGAGCTGCTGGGGGGCCGATTTGCCCTGGGCCGGACCAAGAGTGGGGCTTTGGCCGGTGCCCCAGGGTGGGTTCCTTCCCTCCGGGGATTGAGGGACTCAAGACACCCCGCGCCTGCGCTCTCTTTAGGTCGCAGCCCAGCCTTCTGGGGACTGGGCAGCCTCCCAGAAGGGCGACCCTGGGCATCCTCCAGGACAGGCTAACTGGAGTCTGGTGAGGAGGGGTACCTTGAAAGAGGAAAGTTGTTTCCACCTCCTCCAGTGTTTGGGACCCTTCCTGGGGGCTGGAGTGCATCCCTGGACACCCCCCAATCCCATCGTCTTCTCTAGTCTCCACTGACCTAGGCCCACCCTCCCCTCTCCAGCTCAGTACTCCTGGAAGTGAGATCCTGTGCATTTGAATCTTGTCCTAATGAAACATTTGTCCATGTGGGTACCTGTGTGTGTGTGTGTGTGTGTGTGTGTGTGTGTGGTGGGGGTGCAGACGGAGGGTTTGTCTCTCAGTAGCCTGAACTACTAGGGTGTGGTATCCTTCCCGGGAATTTGCCTGCCACAGTCCTGGAGGTGGGGAGGGGGTTGTGAGCCAGTGGGCAGGGGCTGGGGCAAGTAGCATTGTGGAGCTATTGACACCAGAGGTCTCCAGGCAGGAGATCATGCCCCCATCAGCCCCGTTTTATTTGGGCTTCCTTAACAATGGACTCTTTGCCCTGCCTGCCACAGCCAGCAGGGAGTGACTGTTCAGTGGTGAGCAAGCCCGTGCTGGTAGAGGAAGCCCTGCCATTGGGTAGGAGCAGTGAGCAGCCCCTGGGCTGACTGGGAGGTGGGGATTAGGGATTAGACAGTCCTGGCTGTCTGCCTTCCCCTAAGCCATGGGGAGAGGAGCAAAGGGCAGGAAGTGTGGCCTCCAGGAGAATTAGACTGGCCACATGACCATTTGCACACCCTGAGGTTTAGCAACAATAAAAGTCAGCTTTTGTATCCCAAGGTGGCCTGTGGACACCCACATGAACAAATGTTTACACTGGGACAGAATTCAAATGCAGTGATCCCAGGAGCCTAAAATACACTCACTCTGGTATAGAAAGGATTCCTTACTGGGCAGAGGACAGGTGCAGCCTGGGGCTTTCCCTGGCAGGACATAGGGAGGCTCAGGAACCACCAAGTCCCTGGAAGGTGGATCTGGAGATGTTGGCAGGAGCCACTCCCTGTGTTCCAGGGTTCCAGGTTCCCACTTTAACCCTGTCTCACAGGAGGCTGTGCACTTGGGGACTGCTGAGCATGTCCCAGAGGCTGCATCCTGGACACAGCTCCTCAGTGCACCTGAGCTGAGGCTAACTTGGCAGAAGGGACAGGCAGAACCTGCCCAGCCACGTGCAATTCCACCGCTCTGGCCATGCTTGGAGAATCGGCTCAGGGAAGGAGAGCTGTGAATCAAGATCAGATTTGGGTCGGGACAGGCTGGAGCATGCCTGTCCCTGTACTTCCCAAGATTTATGGCTGGCCAGGGATCGGGCTGGGAGGGGTGGTCTTGCATGCCAGGAGAGTGGCCAGTAAGTGAGGTGACATCTCCTGCACCTGACAGCATTAAGGCCATCTACGCCAAAGCTCTGATGCTGATATGTTCCTGGCCTCTGACTTTGTGGGGCATTGAGGTGAGGCCTGCTCACCTGGGCTTCTGGAAGTGAGAGATTCATTCCTGTGGCTGAGGCCTATAGCAGCACTGTCTGGTAGGAATATACTGGAAGCCATGTCATTGTGCATTTCCTAGAAGCCATGTTGAATAAAGTAAAAGATACAGGTAGAATTAATTTTGCTGAGCCCAATATATGAAAAATAATATCATTTTCACATCTGTTCAATATAAAAATGTACTAATGAGATACTTCATACTAAGCCGCTGAAATCCAGTTTGTATCTTACACATCTCAGTTTGGATGAGCCACATTTCAAGGGCGTGATAGCCACATGTGGCTACCATAGTAGACAGTACTGGTCTAGACAAAGGTTGGTGGCATCCTTGCTGTCTGGTTTCTGGCCTTGCCAAAAGTATTGCCATCCCAGTGTGGTACGTTCTCTTATGTATTTGTCTCCTGTCCCCAGAGCAGACTCTGCAGGTCCTCTCAGATCTTGTCCGGAAGGCCAGGAGTCGGAACATTGGTATCTTCCATCCATCCTTCAACATAGGCAAGTTCCTCCGACAGAATCTCTACAAATACCTCCCGGCCAATGTCCACCAGCTCATCTCTGGCAAAATATGCGTCTCACTCACCAGAGTGTCTGATGGGGAAAACGTTCTGGTGTCTGACTTTCAGTCCAAAGACGAAGTCGTGGATGTAAGCAGTTTGCTTATCTGGATGTTATATCAAGTGAGAAAAGCTGTTTTCAGATGGGTGCGGTGGCTCATGCCTGTCATCCCAGCGCTTTGGGAGGCCGAAGCGGGTGGGTTGCTTGAGCCCAGCAGTTCGAGACCAACATGATGAAACCCAATCTCTACAAAAAATACAGAAAAATTAGCTGGGCATGGTGTTGTGGGCCCGTAGTCCCAGCTGCTAGGGAGGCTGAGGCAGGAGAATTGCTTGAGTCTGGGAGGTGGAGGTTGCAGTAAGTCATGATCATGCCACTGTACTCCAGCCCAGGTGACAGTGAGATGCTGTCTCAAAAAAAAAAAAAAAAGACTTTTGTTTTGGAAGCAACACAGGCAGTTGTAGGCCCCCTGTGCCGGAGTGATATAAACTCTGTATGTCTCCAGTGATTTGGTCCATGATGTTTGTAAACCCTGAATGTTCCAGGGCAGTTTCTTTTCTTCACTTTTTTTCTCTTTTTTTGTGGGGGCGGGGGGTGCGGGCACGGTGCAGGGTCTTGCTCTGTCTCCCAGGCCGGAGTGCAGTGGCGCAATCGCAACCTCTCAAGTAGCTGGGACTACAGGCACAGGCCACCACACCCTGCTAATGTTTGTACTTTTTGTAGAGACAGGGTTTTGCCCTGTTGCCAGGCTGGTCCCAAACTCCTGCACCCAAGTAATCTGCCCACCTCAGCCTGGCAATTACAATTTCAAATAATTCCTCTCTTTCCTTCAACACTTGGCTCATGACCTCCCAGTCCAAGGAACCTGTCCTGCAGGCATGCCTCTCCTGAGCTTTCTCTATGTATCTTCCATAATGAAGATGCTTTCTCAATGGAAACCCCACGAGGGTGGGAACATGCCTTATTTGCCTGTATCCTCAGGGTCTAGCAGAGAGAAGATAATTTGCAATACCAAAACACCATTTAATTCGGCTGATGCTTTCATAAACGCTCCTTGGATGAAGGACTCCATTTTACTTAACAGGCCTGTGGAAGACAGCAGCCTGGCGCATCTAACCAGCAGCCAGTTTCATCCTCTGTTTAACCTTGTTTGCAGGAGCTTTCTCTAAACAGCCAGCACTTGTCTGTTCCCACATGGGTCTGTTCTCCCAGTGAATCAGCGTCGTGCCTGCTGACTGCTCTGTAGCGTGGCGCTTCGCAAAGTGTGATCCTGGGACCAGCAGAGCAGCAGCTCCTGGGAGCTCATTGGAATGGCAGACCCTCAGGCCCCGCCTCGGACCTGCTGCTTGCGAATTCTGGGGAGGGACACAGAATCTCTGGTTCCACAAACCCTCGGGTGATTCTAATGAATACCAGCATTTGAACAGCACTGATCAAATGCCTTTCAGTCCGTGAGTCAACAACCCTTGGTGGTGTCTGTGGTGACCCAGTATGACTCCCATGGGGGGCAAGGAGAGGAAGTTGAAGTTCACTGACAGTGTTGTTAAGGGGCTTATGCAACAGATGAGACCCACGGGCCTGAAGTCCGAGGGTGTAGGTTGGTTCCCCGTTCTTTCAACCCGTGGATCAACCTACTCTGTGCAAAGGGCATTTTCAGGTTTGTTGCCCTGCTCACTTGGAGAAGGCTTATGAAGGATCACGAAAATTAAAAGGGTGCTGTTGCCTATAACTTCTCTTTCCTTTGCTTTCACAGGCCTTGATATGTTCCTGCTTCATCCCTTTCTACAGTGGCCTTATCCCTCCTTCCTTCAGAGGCGTGGTGAGTCAGCTTTCTCTGCTAGTGCTGAGTCCTGGGGGCTTTCTCTCTAAAGCGTGCTCACACATCTCCTGCCTGCAAGGCGCTAGTGTCAGGCACCGCAGGATCTGTCCCGTGGTGGAGCCCCGTGCCTCGCTGCCTTTCAGACAGAGTGGCCACAGCTGACCCTACTTCCAGGCTACCTGGGCAACAAAACTTACTTCATGTGTAATTAATTGTCTGGCTATCTGTAAGGTAAACTGGCTGGTTCACTTAATCTGCACCGTAAGCATCAGGTAGCTTCTCTGTGACCTAGTTAAACTCTGTGATGTTGGCCGGGCACGGTGGCTCATGTCTGTAATCCCAGCACTTCCATCTCAAAGAAAAAAAAAAGATAAATAAAGTATATGACGTTGAAGAATCTGTTACCCCTGGAAGGTGGAGCTTTACTTTTAGGGGGAACTATAACAGTCATATATATATATATATATATATATATGCATTTTTTTATATATTTTAAATTTTTTAATATAAAAAATACATATATATATATTTTTTGTTTTTTGAAATGGAATCTGGCTCTGTTGCTTAGGCTGGAGTGCAGTGGTGCGATCTTGGCTCACTGCAACCTCCACCTCCCAGGTTCAAGCAACTCTTGCCTCAGCCTCCCGAGTAGCTGGGATTACAGGTGCCTGCCATCACACCCAGCTAATTTTTTTGTTTTTAGCAGAGACAGGGTTTCATCATATTGGCCAGGCTGGTCTCCAACTCCTGACCTCAGGTGATCCGCCCGCCTCGGCCTCCCAAAGTGCTGAGATTACAGGCGTGAGCCACCGCGCCCAGCCAACAGTCATATATGTTCTAAACAGCAACAAAAATCTGTAAGCCTGGTCTAACCTAGATTTGTGCTTTGTTTTGTTTGGCCACTTTGTGATGCACAGGAAGAAGTTTAGGCTATCAAATACTAGCCCTTTAGGGTCAGTTTTGAACCCACAAGAGCAGCAGCAGAACCTCTGATGCAATCCTGTATGTTAGCACCGGCAGAGCCACGTGGCAGAGGGACTTGCATTGGGAGCCTCCCATTGCAGGCCACGTGCTCCTGTGCGCTATCTTACAGGGTCCCCACAACCGAGGGGAGATGTGACTATTCATCCCATGTGGCTGTGGGGAACTTGAGAGTCATACTTGCCCAAGGAGCACGGCCAGGGAGCTTGCGCCCAGGTCGCTCTCTGCTCCTCCGTCAGAAGAGGGCATGTCTTGGTTCACTGCAGGGCGGCTCTTCTCATTCTCTGTAGTTTGGGGTCCAGGATAGTGGTCCACAGAGCCACTGGAGTGCCCCGCCACTGAGTGACCAAAGCACGTGTTGAATTTCCGACGTTGCCACAACGTGGTTGGGCATCAGCAGGACCTCAACCCCTTGTTATGCTGTGGCTTTATGTGGGTATTTCCTCTTTCCCGGAACTCAGTAGGAGTGCACCCAGCAGCACCGTAGTGATGCCCTCTGGCTCCCCAGTGCACAGTTCCGGCTTTCCTTCCTGGTGGAGAGTTTCAAGCCCTCTGGGTCCTACTCTGTCCTTTTCACCCCATGGCTTTGGTCAGAAGCTGCTGGCAGTGTTCAGATTTGGCTGAGTTCAGTGAATATGTGCATTGGCCATGCCAATTTCTGAGCCATGCCAGGGGGATGGAGAAGCCAAAGCAGGAGTGTTTGTTCTGCAGGCTCTGGACTAGGCACTGGGTCTGTACCAGCTCACTTGCTAGTCTTGCATCCTCCCCAAACCCCCACTGGGGATGTCTGGCCACATCAGAAGACAGTTTGGGTTGTCAAAACTGGGGGAGTGCCACTGACATCTGGTGTACAGAGGCCCGGGATGCTGTGTCATCACCTGTTGAGTGCGCTCATAGGAATCCTGCTGACAATTAGAACCCATTATTCTTGAAATTCAACGCAAACAAATTCAAAGCATTACTGTGTATGTACCACGTGCTAATCAATCGCACCACTGAAGCTCCTGAATTCAAAACATTACTATAAAGTTCAAAATGCATGGAAAAGTTCTACATGGCAGGAGAATATTTGGGCTTCAGACTACCCCTTGAATGAAAATGATCCACCAGTTGCCTTCCTCCTTGGCCTTCACTCCAGATTCCTGGCATTTCATTCTGTGTACCTTTATGCTAGTGAGGTTTTTGTTTGTTTTTTAGACAGAGTCTCACTCTATCGTGTAGGCCTGGAGCACAGTGGCGTGATCTCAGTTCACTGCAACCCTCGGTTCCTGGGTTCAAGCGATTCTCATGCCTCAGCCTCCTGAGCAGCTGAGATTACAAGCAGGCACTCCCATGCCCACCTAATTTTTGTATTTTTAGTAGAGATGGGGTTTCACCATGTTGCCCAGGCTGTTCTCAAACTCCTGACCGCAAGTGATCCACATGCCTCAGCCTTCCAAAGTGCTGGGATTACAGGCATGAGCCACCATGCCTGGCTGCTAGTGAGGTTTTTGATGCCTTGCTACATCTGCCCTAGACATAGTGTGGCTACGATTTTGGAAATGTTGCTGTGTAAACTCCTGATCGTTTCTGGACTGCAGGCAAGAATCTTGATGGCTAAGGTGTGGCTGAACATGTCTGATTCCCTCCTGGACCTGTTTTAGGCCAAACTCTGCTCTGAAATTCCTCCGTGTGGAAGGGCGGGCTGGGGAGAGCCTCCTGGCTGGAATCTTTTGGAGGCCTTTCTCTGTGGGCATCTGATGGCTGGCTCTGGTGTCTGGCTGTGACAGCTGTGCCTGGAAATCATTGTAGACACAAGTTTCACAGGTGCAGGCTCTATCCAAATTGTAGCAAAAGCTGCCTGTCCCAGGTGAGCTATGGGCAGTAAGGTGGTTTAAGGATATAGATGAAGGAAAACTTACCCTTAGAATGATTTATTCAAAATGCTGCTGTGTTGTGGGTTAGAGGACATTTTCTGAGGTCCCAGGTTCATTGTTTCATGTGTGTCTCCAAAGTCCCTCCAGGTCTTGGTTCTAATTGTCAAACGTGGAGGGAGACAGGCTCATGGGTTAAAGATCTTGTCCCAGATTTGTGTATCCTCCTTGCAAGCAGCAAAGGGGGCTGGATTTGAACCCATGACCATCTTTCCCCTTTGGGTTTCTATCACACTCTGCCCCCAGTGCACTGAGCACCCCCTAGTTCATATGGCCCCCTTAGGTACATTACATGGGCACTCCTATAGGTGCCCATCTGGCCCTAGGACTTGGCCAACACAACATGGACTCCAGTCTCCATCTGCCTCTTTGCCAGGCACTTTTGTGCAGTGCACACACTGTACAACAGTAGACAGCAACCCTGAGAGCCAGAGTAGAGCCTGTCCCAGCACAGGAATGCTCAGTAAGGATTTGTCGCAGGAGTGATTCCAAAGCCAATGTGCTCCCTCCATATCAGCCTGTTTGCGGCTCTGAGAAGCTCTGCCCACATGTGAACGCTTGTTAAGCAGTTAAGCACTAACCCAGAGCTTCAGATGGTGCCAGTCCTTTTTTCCCTTCTTTAAAAGCGGTATGTGGATGGAGGAGCGAGTGACAACGTACCCTTCATTGATGCCAAAACAACCATCACCGTGTCGCCTTTCTATGGGGAGTACGACATCTGCCCTAAAGTCAAGTCCACGAACTTTCTTCATGTGGACATCACCAAGCTCAGCCTACGCCTCTGCACAGGGAACCTCTACCTTCTCTCAAGAGCGTTCGTCCCCCCGGATCTCAAGGTGAGTTGGCAGTGAGGATGCAGGTGTTCTGGGGGGCTCTTCTTCTTTAACTCCCTGATTGCCAGGAGCTACCTGTTGCTCTCTGCACAATCAAACAGAAATAGACCTTGTCAATGATGGTTAATGGAAATAAAAGGCACGTGTCCCAGAAGCTCAGGTGAGGCACTACCCTGATTATGGGAATCACCTGGGAACATATACCCAGCCCTAAAACTCAGATCCACTTCCCAGGCTGTGGTTATATAGTCAGGGGGTGCAGCATAGGCATTAGGATTTTTTATTTCTTTAGTTATAAAGATTTTTTTTTTTTTCTTTTTGAAACAAGGTCTTGCTGTCACTCAGGCTGCAGTGCAGTGGTGCAGTCATAGCTCACTGAAGTCTCAAACTCCTGGGTTCAAGCCGTCCTCCCACCTCAGCCTCCTGAGTAGCTAGGACCCACAGGCATGTACCACCACACCTGGCTAATTTTTAAAATTTTTGTAGAGTGTTGCCCAGGCTGGTCTCACACTCCTGGCCTCAAGCGATCCTCCCACCCCAGCCTCCCAAAGTGTTGGGATTACAGGCATGAGCCACTGTACCCAGCCACTAAGATGATTCTTATTTGGAAACATGGTCAAGAACAACTGCATTCGGTAGTTTAACCTTTTTTGATTGTGGTTGTTTTAGTTTGCCTTACCACTCTACCATAGTAAGAAATTTGCAGACCATGTACAGCAACCTTTGGTGCTCCTGGGGAGAAAGAAGGAAGGCTATGCAATGCAATGCATGCCCACAGTCCAAGGGAGAGGGAAGGTTGTCTAACAGGATTGGTTTTCCTGTGTGCTTTATAAGCAGATGAGTAGAGGAGATAGCTCTTATTGTCCTAGTGACAATTGGGACAGGCTGCAAAATTTGTTAGGGTGGAGGCTTATTCCGGGACCAAGGAAGCCCAAGAAATAAGCTCCTACCAGGCGCAGTGGCTCACACCTGTAATCCCAGCACTTTGGGAGGCTGAGGCAGGCGGATCACTTGAGGTCAGGAGTTTGAGACCAGCCTGGCCAACACGGTGAAACCCCGTCTCTATGAAAAATACAAAAATTAACCAGGCATGGTGGCGGGCACCTGTAATCCCAGCTACTAGGGAGGCTGAGGCAGGAAAATGGCTTGAACCTCGGAAGCGGAGGTTGCAGTGAGATTGCGCCACTGTACTCCAGCGCCTGGGCAACAGCAAGACTCCGTCTCAAAAAAAAAAAAGAAGCTCCTGCCTGCTGGGATGCCTACAAAGTCTCTGTGGAGGGGTGACATTCGAGCCAAGACCTGCAGGGAACTGTCTCCTGGGAGCACAGAGCCCTTTGCTCAGCCTCCAGGTGGCTCAGTCCCCCCAGCCAGCAGACTCAGAGCTTGCACGATTCTTTAGTGCCCTCTGCGGTCTTCCAGTGATGCTTAAATAAATGGTGCTTGGTGTCTCCCCGCTGTAGTCCCCTTGCTTGCTTTGCTCACAGGTGCTGGGAGAGATATGCCTTCGAGGATATTTGGATGCGTTCAGGTTCTTGGAAGAGAAGGGTATGTATGGGCTGGGAGGATCAGACGTGCCCTTTTGATGAGTATTTACTAGCAGTCTTGGTAAAGACTGAGATTTGCCTTAGTTCTAACACTTAGTGCCCAACACCTTCCCTGTGTTGCGCAACCTACTCATGAGCCCGGGAGATAGGAAATCTTGGTCCCATTTTATAGATGGGGAAACAGAAGCTTGGAGAGGAGAGCCAAGCAGCACACACCCCTCCCTGAGGGGCAGAGCCGAGATCTGAACTGGGATATCATGACTCCAGGGCCCTCTCCCTCCACAGGGTCCCCTTATCTGAAAGTGGTTTTTCTTTCCAGCTCGACCTCTTGTGATCCTTTAGTTTAACAAGGGCTGAAGTTAAAGAGTTTCTGCGCCTGGACTCCAAATGAAGCAATCAGATTTCTCATCTCCAGTCAGGTGTGGGTCCAAGCCCACTAGACCAGTTTGTTCTTCCCAGAGCGAATTTCTGCCTTCAAGTCATCCTGGCTTGTCGGGGCTGGGGGAGCTCTGCTCTAGAAATATTAGAGTGGAAGCAAAAAGATGTGTTGGGAGCTGTTTTTCTTTAATACTAAGAGTTGGCTGATACATTGGTCTTGTGAATTTGTTGTTGGCCAAGACCAAGGAGACTGCATTTGTAAGGACACATGTGTATTTATCTGTTCAGAAGGTGTTCATTGCTGTGCGCTAGGGATACTGCAGTGAACACAGAGGTGTGGCCCTTGCCAGCCTTGTGAGAGAAGTGAGCAGATAAGTAAGCAGAAGGGTGATGCTGTGTCAATGGGAAAGTACAGGTGCCAATGAGAAGGCACAGGTGTCAAGGAGAAGACACAGGATGCTGGAGGCTCATGCAGGATGGATCACCAAGGCCCAAGGGAAGAAGGGCCTCTCGGAGGGCATGAATCCACATGAAGACTTTGGGGATAAGGAGGAGAGCCTTAGGCACGGGGGCCATGAATGTGAGGCCTGCAGGACACAGAGAGGATGGCATGAAGGCCTGTGCAGCTGGAGGGGTGGGGATGGGGACACTAAGAGATGGCTGGAGAAGAGGGGGTCAGGAATGGTGAAAAATGGGACAGGAGGGCAGGCTGAGCCTTTTGGATACAGGGGATTGCATCCCACAGCCGTAGGGAGCCATTGAGGGCTGCTGCAGTGGGAGTGAGGGGATCAGAGGAGGGCTTCGGAAGCCCCCTGGCTGCGGGACAGGAAGGGAGAGACCAGCATCTAGGAGGCCAGTGAGGCAGCCAGAGGCTCCACCAGGATCAGGACTGTGACGATCATGAGGAGGAAACCAATTTGAAGCAGTCCAGGGGACTAGGACTTGGAACTGACCGATGGGACATTTGGGGAGAGGAAGACAAAAGAGCGTAGTCCCGGCTTCTGGCTTAGCAGTTGCACAAAGGGGAGATGGGGAGCTGCGCCCATGGGTTAAGGGTTGAGACATTAGGAGGGAACCAGTTTGGCAGGACAAGCTGGTGTGCCAGAGATGCTGGAAGCAACATCTCCCTGAGAACCTGGCAACATTCCTAAGGGAAAATGATATCTCAGAGGGTAAGGAGGGCATCTGATAGAGCCTGGAAAGAGCCAGGGCAAGCATGAATGTGAGGTTATCTTGGGGAGCAAGGCTCAGGCATTGAGCAGCAGCCGCTGGTCTTTTCAACCTGAGGTTGGAAGCCAGAGTTGGGCCAGGTGCAGCTGTGGTTGTCTGAAGCTCCCCTCCCCCGGCCCAGTGTGCCAAAGCTGTAAGAGCAGCGGCCACTCACTGGTGCTGGTGGCTGAGTTCCAGCACCCAGGACAGGGCCTGGCACATACTGGTGCCCGATCCTCGCTTGCTGGGTGCTTCTTCCAAGTGTGATGGAAGAGTACCCTCTTTGACATCAGACCCGGCTTCAAATCCCGGCTCTGCTATGTACTGGCTGCGTGGCTTTAGACAAGTCTCTTAACCTCTGTGCTTCTGATTTCTCAGCTGAAAAATGGAGATGATGATAATGGTTGATGTAAGGCCTGATAGTGAAGCACCTAGCTCAGGGCCTGGGAGGCAGGTGTAACCAGTGGTTCAGTTGTTATAAATGAACAGTAACCCTCGCCTTTGCACCTCATGAATCCAGACGTGGAGATGGAGCCCACACAGCTAGCAGGAGCCAAGCTCACGTGTGTCCTGCTTTAAAGCCCTACACTCCTTTCTCCGGTCGACAAACACCTGCGCTCATTCTCCTCACTTCCCCTCTTCCCCTTGCATTTGGCTAATAACAGGCCAGCTGCCTGCCTCCCTGCAGTTCGGTGGATGGGTGGGTAATGATCACCACTCCCCACATTCACCTGAGGGGCTTGTTTTCCCTGCCCTTCACAGGCATCTGCAACAGGCCCCAGCGGGGTCTGAAGTCATCCTCAGAAGGGATGGATTCTGAGGTCGCTGCGCCCGGCTGGGAAAACACAAGTCTGGATTCTTCCCCGGAGCCGGCTGCCTTGGCTATGAGGCTGGACGGAGACGAGCTGCTAGACCACCTGCGTCTCAGCATCCTGCCCTGGGATGAGAGCATCCTGGACACCCTCTCGCCCGAGCTCGCTACAGGTACCCCCTCCTCAGGCTGGGCACGGGCAGCACCTTGTTTGCTTTCTTGCGTGGTATGGAGGAAGATGGTACTGCCACATGGGAGCGATAGGGTGAGGCAACCGGGACAGGCTGTCGGGAACATCTCCTTCCATGTGTACAGCCTGGTCTGCTGCTGTCACTCCCAGCACAGCCCCCCAATCCTGGCACCTTGCCAAGTCTCCCCATGGGGTCATGACCAGGAGGAAAACAAACTCCAGCTGAGCCCCTTGGGGTTCTCCATACAGGCTCCTCCTGCAGCAGCTGGGCCCTCTCTACCCCTTCCCAACCCTGTCTCCCCAACATGGCACCTGAGCTCCTGCCAACCTGGATTTCATGGGCCCCAAGGATGGGGGTCCTGCCTCTGGGACTTGGCCCATTACTTGGAGCTCCTTTCCGGTTGCCACCCTCCACCTGTCCAGCCATCTCAAGGCTCCTTTCTTGAGGCTGCTCTTAATTTCTCCCTTCCCCTAAACCCACAATTTTGAACCTCCATAGAATGGTGCTGTATTTTATAATGTCATCAAATATTGAATGGACAGACAGTGCTATGGTCCAAATGATTGTGTCCCCCCCGGAATTTATCTATTGAAATCCTAACCCCCAAAATGATGGTCTTAAGAGGTGGGGCCTTTGGGAGGAGACTAGGTCCTGAGGAAAGGGCTGTCATGAATGGGATTGGTGCCCTTATTGAAGAGACCCAAGAGACGTCCCTGTCCCTTCTACCATATGAGGACACAGAAGGTGGTGTCTATGAAGAAGCAGGCCCTCACCAGACACCAACACGTCTGCTGCCCCTTGATCTGGGACCTCGCAGCCTCTAGAACTCTGAAAAATCGATGTTTGTTGTTTTATAAGCCACTCAGTTGGCGGCGTTTTGTTAAAGTAGCCTGAACACGGACTAAGTAAGACAGAGGAACCCACAAACCAGCTATGGAGTCAGGCATTTGCAGAAATTAAAAAATGAGTCAGACATAGCTCCTTGTTCTTGAGGTACCAACACCCTAGGAGATGGGAGACAGCAGCTGCCCAGGTGCATTAGGTTGTTCTCGCATTACTGTAAAGAAATCCCCGAGACTGGGTAACTCATAAAGAAGGAGGTTGAATTGGCTCACAGTTGCACAGGCTTGACAGAAAGCACGGTGCTGGCATCTGCTCAGCTTCTGGGAAGGCCGCAGGAAACTTACAATCATGGCAGAAGGCGAAGGGGAAACATGCACATCCCATGGCTGGAGCAGGAGTGAGAGAGAGAGGGAAGTGGAGAGAAGGTGCCATATGCTTTTAAACAACCAGATCTCACGAGAATGCACTCACTATCAAGAGAACAGCAAGCTCAAGCCTGTAATCCCAGCACTTTGGGAGGCCGAGACGGGCGGATCACGAGGTCGGGAGATCGAGACCATCCTGGCTAACACGGTGAAACCCCGTCTCTACTAAAAAAATACAAAAAACTAGCCGGGCGAGGTGGCGGGCGCCTGTAGTCCCAGCTACTCGGGAGGCTGAGGCAGGAGAATGGCGTGAATCCGGGAGGCGGAGCTTGCAGTGAGCTGAGATCCGGCCACTGCACTCCACCCTGGGCGACAGAGCGAGACTCCGTCTCAAAAAAAAAAAAAAAAAGAGAACAGCAAGCACCAATGGGGAAATCGGTCCCCACAATCCAATCACCTCCCAGCAGGCCCCGCCTCCAACACTGGGAATTACAGTTCCACATGAGATGTGGGCAGGGACACAGATCCAAACCATATCACCAGATTAATATGATTTGAGGCACCACGAGGTCATTAAAGAGAGAGAATAAAAGACTGGGGCTCCAGGAAGAAAGCTCTGGAATCCAGCAGAGGGTCAAGGACCAGCTTGTAAAGCTGGTGGTGCCTGAGAAGTTCCTAGAAGAACATAGATGCTGTGACGTTTGATGTAGCTGTTTTTTGTTTTGGTTTTGTTTTTTGAGACAGAGTCTTGCTCTGTCGCCCAGGCTGGAGTATGCAGTGGCGTGATCTTGGCTCACTGGAGCCTCTATCTCCCAGGTTCAAATGATCCTCATGCCTCAGCTACCTGAGTTGCTGGGATTACAGGCGTACACCACCAGGCCTGGCTAATTTTTGTGTTTTTAGTAGAGACAGAGTTTCGCCATGTTGGCCAGGCTGGTCTCAAACTCCTGACCTCAAGTGATCCACTGACTTTGGCCTCCCAAAGTGCTGGGATTACAGGCATGAGACACCAGGCCCAGCCTGCTGTAGCTCTTTCTGTGCAGATTATTTGCTGTGGGGTATATTCAGATTTCTTAATACAAGATGATGCTTTGCCTCATGACTTACACACCATTTTCTATATAATTTCAGCTATGATATTGGAAATGGACATGTCTTTTCAAGGAAAATAAAAGCAGGCTTTCTGGAATGGTGACTTTCAAACATATTTGTCAATTTAAAGGAGCTGGGAGTGGGGACCCTATGTCCTGTAAGCACTCTCAGGGCTGTTCTGAGCTGTGTGCCCTGCTTCAGCTTCACACTGCCCTTGCTGTGAAGGGAGCAGCCTGGGTCGGGCGCAGTGGCTCACACCTGTAATCCTAGCACTTTGGGAGGCTGAGGTGGGTGGATCACCTGAGGTCAGGAGTTCGAGACCAGCCTGGCCAACATGGTGAAACCCCATCTCTACTAAAAACACAAAAAATTAGCTGGGCAGAACAGCAAGCTCAAGCCTGTAATCCCAGCACTTTGGGAGGCCGAGACGGGCGGATCACGAGGTCGGGAGATCGAGACCATCCTGATGTAAGGCCTGATAGTGAAGCACCTAGCTCAGGGCCTGGGAGGCAGGTGTAACCAGTGGTTCAGTTGTTATAAATGAACAGTAACCCTCGCCTTTGCACCTCATGAATCCAGACGTGGAGATGGAGCCCACACAGCTAGCAGGAGCCAAGCTCACGTGTGTCCTGCTTTAAAGCCCTACACTCCTTTCTCCGGTCGACAAACACCTGCGCTCATTCTCCTCACTTCCCCTCTTCCCCTTGCATTTGGCTAATAACAGGCCAGCTGCCTGCCTCCCTGCAGTTCGGTGGATGGGTGGGTAATGATCACCACTCCCCACATTCACCTGAGGGGCTTGTTTTCCCTGCCCTTCACAGGCATCTGCAACAGGCCCCAGCGGGGTCTGAAGTCATCCTCAGAAGGGATGGATTCTGAGGTCGCTGCGCCCGGCTGGGAAAACACAAGTCTGGATTCTTCCCCGGAGCCGGCTGCCTTGGCTATGAGGCTGGACGGAGACGAGCTGCTAGACCACCTGCGTCTCAGCATCCTGCCCTGGGATGAGAGCATCCTGGACACCCTCTCGCCCGAGCTCGCTACAGGTACCCCCTCCTCAGGCTGGGCACGGGCAGCACCTTGTTTGCTTTCTTGCGTGGTATGGAGGAAGATGGTACTGCCACATGGGAGCGATAGGGTGAGGCAACCGGGACAGGCTGTCGGGAACATCTCCTTCCATGTGTACACCCTGGTCTGCTGCTGTCACTCCCAGCACAGCCCCCCAATCCTGGCACCTTGCCAAGTCTCCCCATGGGGTCATGACCAGGAGGAAAACAAACTCCAGCTGAGCCCCTTGGGGTTCTCCATACAGGCTCCTCCTGCAGCAGCTGGGCCCTCTCTACCCCTTCCCAACCCTGTCTCCCCAACATGGCACCTGAGCTCCTGCCAACCTGGATTTCATGGGCCCCAAGGATGGGGGTCCTGCCTCTGGGACTTGGCCCATTACTTGGAGCTCCTTTCCGGTTGCCACCCTCCACCTGTCCAGCCATCTCAAGGCTCCTTTCTTGAGGCCGCTCGTAATTTCTCCCTTCCCCTAAACCCACAATTTTGAACCTCCATAGAATGGTGCTGTATTTTATAATGTCATCAAATATTGAATGGACAGACAGTGCTATGGTCCAAATGATTGTGTCCCCCCCGGAATTTATCTATTGAAATCCTAACCCCCAAAATGATGGTCTTAAGAGGTGGGGCCTTTGGGAGGAGACTAGGTCCTGAGGAAAGGGCTGTCATGAATGGGATTGGTGCCCTTATTGAAGAGACCCAAGAGACGTCCCTGTCCCTTCTACCATATGAGGACACAGAAGGTGGTGTCTATGAAGAAGCAGGCCCTCACCAGACACCAACACGTCTGCTGCCCCTTGATCTGGGACCTCGCAGCCTCTAGAACTCTGAAAAATCGATGTTTGTTGTTTTATAAGCCACTCAGTTGGCGGCGTTTTGTTAAAGTAGCCTGAACACGGACTAAGTAAGACAGAGGAACCCACAAACCAGCTATGGAGTCAGGCATTTGCAGAAATTAAAAAATGAGTCAGACATAGCTCCTTGTTCTTGAGGTACCAACACCCTAGGAGATGGGAGACAGCAGCTGCCCAGGTGCATTAGGTTGTTCTCGCATTACTGTAAAGAAATCCCCGAGACTGGGTAACTCATAAAGAAGGAGGTTGAATTGGCTCACAGTTGCACAGGCTTGACAGAAAGCACGGTGCTGGCATCTGCTCAGCTTCTGGGAAGGCCGCAGGAAACTTACAATCATGGCAGAAGGCGAAGGGGAAACATGCACATCCCATGGCTGGAGCAGGAGTGAGAGAGAGAGGGAAGTGGAGAGAAGGTGCCATATGCTTTTAAACAACCAGATCTCACGAGAATGCACTCACTATCAAGAGAACAGCAAGCTCAAGCCTGTAATCCCAGCACTTTGGGAGGCCGAGACGGGCGGATCACGAGGTCGGGAGATCGAGACCAGCCTGGCCAACATGGTGAAACCCCGTCTCTACTAAAAATACAAAAATCTACTTGGGAGATTGAGGCAGAAGAATCGCTTGAACCCTGGAGGCAGAGGTTGCGGTGAGCCAAGATCACGCCACTGCACTCCAGCCGGGACAACAAGAGCAAGGCTCTGTCTAAAAAAAAAAAAAGAAAAGAGCAGCCTGGCAAACCCCACCCCGTCTCTTCTGTGAGTGCCTCTGACCCTTTGGCTGCCAGGACGGGCGTATTTCATGGAAATGCTAAGCACCAACAGAGTAAAGTGGTTTGGGTTTTCACACTGGTGGGAGATAATAGCTCCAAATTGTCTTTTTCAGCAGTGAGTGAAGCAATGAAAGACAAAGGTGGATACATGAGCAAGATTTGCAACTTGCTACCCATTAGGATAATGTCTTATGTGATGCTGCCCTGTACCCTGCCTGTGGAGTCTGCCATTGCGATTGTCCAGAGGTGAGCATTTTAGGTGGCCCTGTGTCTTCCTCACAGGGTTGATATGAGGATGAAACAGGATGACAGATGATGGTGGCATGTAGTCTGGGGCCTGGATGGTCGTGCAGCAGATCACAGCTCACAGTCTATATGCAATGCCCCTGAACGTTGCCTGCCTGTCCTCAAGCCACACATGTACCTGTAACTCAGTGCAAGCCCAGAAACTCCCTGTGGGAACTCCTGGAGTTGTCAGCGGCCTCACATAGCAGCTGGTCCAGTCTCTTGTGATTGCCTGAGGAAACGGGCCCGGAGGGCTTGGGGGTCACCGCTCTGAGGTCACAGAGATGCCTAGTAGAAGGGTCAGGCCTGGAAGCAGGATCCTTGCTGCCTCTCTAAGCTATTTCCATTTAAAATCACATGAAGGCTGGCGTGGTGGCTCACGGCAGTAATCCCAGCATTTTGGGAGGCCAAGATGGGTGGATCACATGAGGTCAGGAGTTTGAGACCAGCCAGGCCAACATGGTGAAACGCCATCTCTCCTAAAAATACAAAAATTAGCAGAGCATGGTGGCACGTGCCTGTACTCCCAGCTACTTTGGGAGACTGAGGCAGGAGAATCGCTTAAGCCTGGGAGGCAGAGGTTGTAGTGAGACAAGACTGTACCACTGCACTGCAGCCTGGGTGACAGGAGAGAAACCCTATCTCAAAATAAAATGAAATGTAATGAAATGAATAAAATAACAAATCAAGTCATGGCCAGGCGCAGTGGCTCACACCTGTAATCCCAGTTTGGGAGGCTGAGGTGGGTGGATAATGAGGTCAGGAGTTCAAGACCAGCGTGGCCAACATGGTGAAACCTCGTCTCTACTAAAAATACAAAAATTAGCTGGGCCATGGTGTGTGTGCCTATATCCCAGTACTCTGGAGCTAGGCAGGAAATGCTTGAAACTTGGACCTGGGGCGAAGGTGCAGTAGCGGTCACGGCCCCACTAACA